TTCAAAAAAAACATTTGTTTTATGTGTTCTGACTATTTAAAAACAGAAAGACAGTATATTCACGTAACTGTTATCAATATATTTTTTTATAAGGAACAATTAATTCAAAATGTAAAGATTTAAAAAGATAAATAAGAAGCTTTTAAAAATCAACACACCCAAAAAAATAAACTTAATTTATTATCTTTTTTTTGTTATAGATGCACTTTTGTTTGAATTCTGTATATTTGATTTTTGTTTTTTATTTGCTTAAATATAGCAGTCATCTTTTTCCAAAGCTAAATTATGGTGGACTAAGTTTTGCTTTATTTAAACTATTTTATTTTTTGATTTTTTATGTTTTTCATGTTATTTATGTTTTTTCTTTGCTATATTTTTTTTCCTTATATATTTTTCTCAAGTTATATATTTTGTTGAAATATATTTGCTTGGTTTAATATTTGGATAATATTAGTTTAATAAATAATAAGTAAATCATCAAAACTAGCCTACTATTTTTTGGACAGCATAAGTAAGCATGACGTCCAGCTTTGTAATCAAGTAGGCCATGATATATATATATATATATATATATATATATATATATATATATATATATATATATATATATATATATATATATATATATATATATATATATATATATATATATATATATGTATATATATATATATGTGTATATATATATATATCTATATGTGTGTGTATATATATATATATATATATATATATATATATATATATATATATATATATATATATATATATATATATATATATGTATGTATGTATATATATATATATATATATATGTATATATTAAAGTTTATAGACTTAGATTATATATTTAGATTTTCTTAACCACCGAGAAGTGTTTAATATAACTCAAGACTCTTTACTGGGAACCCTTTATGTGTTAAGAAAAGTGTACACTGTGTCTTTTAATATTAAACCCAGGAACTACACAAAAGGCTTGAAAAATGTTGTTCATTTAACTTTGGGGAAGGATTTTGGAGCTTATGGTGATAGAAATCCAAGTGTTTGGTTTCACGAAGATGGTTCAGGAAAGCTGGTTATTTTTGCAGCTGTGAGTGGAAATGTTAGTTACTGCATTGAAACTCCTCCTCTTGCATTAAATCAATGGACTTTTGTTAAAATATTTCAAAGTTTTTTGGACAGTAAGTATTGGTTTTCTGTTGATTTGAATGGAAGTAATATTCATAAAGTAGAAAATTCTGATACCAGAGATTTCACAAATATAAAAGTGTATGCTTCAGATCTTTGGTATGATTCTCAAGATGGTTCTATATCTAATTTTTTAGTTATCAATGGAAATGCTGGTAAGAGTGATTTATAGTTTTTTGTTCATCAGTTTGTTACTTTGTTTTGATTTGAAGGGTTTTATATGTAAATGAAAAATAAAAAAGTAATGCTTAAAAAAATTATGGTTGTTTTTATTAAGAAAATGTATTTATATTTGTTGAGGAGATATTTATACCCATAAGTAAATTTTTTTAAGTATTTTTGAAAATACTTAAGACCTTGTTAAATAGATTTTAATTACAATGAAATATCAATAAATAAAAAATTTAAAATATTTTTAATAGCTAAGTTGTTTTATTACTTCAAAGTTAAAAGTTTAAAACTAATTAAACTCTCAAAAAAAAAAGTTATTTTTAAACACTCTTCTTAGTTCATATTTTTAATAAGTTTTGATTTAAAAAGCATTTTGGAAAATTTAAACATTAAAGTGGTAATGGTTTCTATAATGATGTCAGAGTTTGTGTTGAAATAAAATAAATTTTTATAAATGCCAGAGCTCATCGCGATATTTTGCATATCACTATCATAATTTACACTTGAAGACTTTTTTAGATAAAAACCAGTATTACATTGTTTTCTGCCTAGGATGATGGATGCTGGGTATTTTTAACTCTACTCATGGATTTTTGCTTGTGACTTTTTGTTTGTAACTATGCAACTACTGCTATCTCTTAATACAGCCCTAAAACTCAGTTTAATGGTTTTAAAGTCTATTGGTAGTACTGGTTTCCCATACTCTGTGGTAGCTCTTAGTGATGCTGACTTTATCAGCAGTTGTAAAATATCAGAATATTAAAAGTGCCATGTTGTACATAAGTAGTGATTAATAGGCCTGTGTTTTAGATAGCCATGATCGGTAGCTTACATATAAGCATTTTTGTGAGCTTTATTAAAGCCATAAAGGGATCCCTATGTTACATCTTTTTGTGATGTATTAACAGAACGCACTTGTCAAAATTGGTTTGCAAAGTTTCGTTCTAGAAATTATTCAGTTCAAGATGCATAATGGTAGATCAACTGAGATTGATGAAACCAAAGTAAAAGCTTTGATTGATGCTAATTGACATATAACAGTTTGTAAAATTAGTAAAAAAGTTAAACATATCCAAATAAACTGTCGAGAATCATTTGAGTAAGCTTGGATATTTGAAAAAGCTTGGTGTTTGAATTCTATTTGATTCAAGAAAATGAAAATTATCTATTTTTAAAGAAAATAATAAATAATGATGAAAAAAAGATTATATACTATAATATTTAACATAAAAGATCATGGTTTAAACCTGGTGAGACATCTCAATTGCCAAAAGCTGGTATTCATCAAAAAAAGGTTATACAGTTGGTATGGTGGCATTATAAAGGAATTTTGTATTTGGAGCTTCTGCCACCTAACAAAACAAGCAACTAACAAAATTAAATAAAACATTGCAGCAAAAATATCCAGAATTAGTAAGATATAGGGTTAGTAAGATAGGTGTTTCACCTTAATAATCTGCAACCACATACTTTAGACCAATTATTTGAAATTGACATGCTACCTAACACACCTTACAGCCTTGGATCATCAGACTAACATTAATAAAACCGTAAAAAAAAAATGCATTTAATTTTTTAGTTAAAAATCAGAAGGACTTTTTGGACAACTCATTAGTTTTTGTACAAAATCAGGTTTTAATCTTCACACTATTTTTTATTTACTTATGCTTAGCTCTTCTCTTAGTTTCATTAAAAAAAATAATGATATTTAAAGAATAGTTTGTTTTTATCATAAAAACCATGAAATAAAATTATTGTCAAAACAATAAAATATTGCCTAAAAAATTAGGGATAATGTATCAAAACTTAATCTAAATTAAAAAATTAATGAAAAGTACTCATAGCTAAAAGAGTCAAAACTAGAAAACAAGTCACCAAGTTAAACTCAGATAAACTCAGACCTTCACTCCTTTGGACCTCTACATTTGTGTCTCATCTTTTAGCTTGTGCTTAGTTTCACCTTTTTTTTCAAAATGGTTTAATCGATTGATTTCACTTTATTTTGTACTTCTTTTACGTCAGTATAACCCTAATATTCTACTTCTTACTAATACCTGACTAGGATTCATTTTGTAGTTTTCTTTGTATCTTTTGGCTGATGTCTTTTTGCTCTCAACTAAATAATGCACCTCTATTATAACTCCTGAATTTAGGCTGGCATAGAAGTTTTTATTCCTTTTGTTGGTTTCAAATCGAGTCTTATTCTACTGTATATAAAAAAAAGATTTTTTTCTTTTTTGGTAAAATTTCTAATCGTAATCATATTATTCAACTTTTTTGAAGAACAAATCTTTAGAGAACTGATTTTGTTATTGCAAGAAATTAATACACAAAGGTATAGTCTGGCACTATGGTCAAGTCTTTGTATCCTTAATTAAGCAAATTTTCAATATTTCACTTTGAGTCTTACAATTAACTCTCTGACAATCAGAGAGCTCTGAGTAGTTAATTGTAAGACTCAAAGTAGTAAATTGTTATAGTGTTGTAAGACTCAAAGTAGTAAGTTGTTATAGCATATCAAACAATGCAGATATTTTTTCCTCTTGCTCTATGCTGACTGTTGAAACAGAAAGATTATATTGTGCATAAGGTTGAAGTGTTGAAGCAAGGGCTGTTGATTATGATTTATTAAAGACATTTAATATAATCTGGCATGCTGGTCTTTTTTATAAGTTTGTTTCATATGGAGTATCGGGGAAAGTATTTAAACTTATTGAATTACTCTTTGATGTTTTCCTTGATGGAAAATGCTCTCCTTTCATTCAAGTAGCTTTAGGATTTTTTTATGGAAATGTTTTTATTGACAAAATTGATAAAAGTATCATCTGCATATATGATGGTTTGAAAGTACTGTTTTGATATGGTATTTTAATGACAGGTTTATTATGTAACAAAGAAGCTGGTAATTAAATAATCAAAGATTGAATTAACAAAGCTTGTATGAAATACATTTCACACTATCTTTGATTATTTTTGGTAAAATTTTTTTTTAATTTAGCGTTTTTGTTTTCTTGTATACTAGGGTGTTGACTTTTTGGTACCTTTAGTTTCCTGTATAAAAAATAGATGAACTTTGGTTTGAAAGCAACTGAAAACTATTGGTATTATTTGGTTTTTGTAAAAGGTCACCCACCATGATCCTTGATTGCATGCCATTTATCTGAAAAAAAGTTTTTTTCCAAAAGTATATCAACCTGGGTCTCAAAACAATTAGAACTTCATAAAAATTTTAGAAATAATAATTTTAAATAAAAAGAAATTTCTAAAAATTGATATACAAAAAAGCAACAATTTTTAACTTGAAATTAGAAAAGCTTGTTTTTCATGACATTTTGTTTCAATAAAAAATATCATGAATTTTAAAATCACTATAAAAATCTAGTTTTTTTGAGAACCAGGTTGATATACTTTTAAAGAAAAAAAAATTAATTAATATTTGGGATCCAGCGTGTAATCAAGGGTCATGGTGGGCAGCGCCGGCCTTAGCTTTTTTTACAGGTTGGGCAAAACTTGTGAACGCGCCCCTAGGTATATATGGGTGGGTTGTTACCATTAACAACGAGACCAATGCTCTAAAATGATGAACAAGAGTGCTAAAGGGAATATATAGTTTAATACAAAGAGATCCATATTGTGCATCAAGTTTCTTATTTAATTAATTTCTTATTAAAATTATAAGTTTAGACTTTTCATGATATGGGTTTATAGAAATGAGTGACTAAATAAATAGACAATGCAACGCTTTTAAAATAACAAATGTTTTTATTAAACATATAATAAATCCTCTAACTATATAAACAAGAGTTATTAAATTTTAAAATCTAACTTTTCTAGCTTTTTTGTCCGCGAAATCTCTTATCAAACTAGAAAAATCTAAATTTTCAGCTATATCTTGCTCGATTAATAACATAGATAGAGAATTAAGTCGATTTTGCAACATGGTATTTCTTAAATATGTACGCTGCTTATTTGGTATCGGATGGCTTTGAGGCTATCAATTTTAGCTTCCCAACGAGTGTGGCAAAATCGTTTAAGAGTGAAGTTTGTTGTATGACTAAGTAAAACATTCCAGCGTGAAGTTGATGCAGAAAATAATGTGAATAATCTTTGTATTATGCCAAAAACGTTAATGGAATTTAGAGAAGACTACGCTGCGTCACAAATAACCAAATTGAGAGAATGACTTCCACATGGAAGGTAAAAAGCCAAAGGATTCAAATCTAATATTTGCTTTTGTAGACCTATTTTTTTACCTTTCATATTTGCACCGTTATCGTAACCTTGCCCTCGACAAAAGCTTATATTCAGTCCAAAATCTCTGGTTGATGTATCACTAAGTAGATGCGCAACATTTTCTCCTTCCTTTATTTTATTACAATCACTATTTTCCAATGTAAAAATATTTTCAAGTTTTTATAATTTTTCTTCAAATTATCAACTTTTTCTGCTTTACGTTTTCTGTATTGAGCACCAGATGGTTTCTTATTATTATGAGTTTTAAAAACATTTTTTTCTTTATTATGTGTACTCTCTATTGATTGCTGCTGACAGTTTCTATTTGTCTGAAATTTCAAAATAAAAAATTACTCGCAAGCTAATAATTCATAACCAATTTCATTATTTATACTTACCTGCTTTTTATTACCGCAAAATTTGAAAACTTGACAAAAACTGAATTTGAATCACAAATACAACTTTAAATTTCTTCTACAAATTAATAAACAACGCGCTCGCAACTCGTACCGAAAATGTTTAAAATTTAAACTTTTAATGAATGGAACGCAAAATAATTGGCGCCGAGAAAAATACAAGTAAAAAAATGAATTTAAATAACAAAATATAAGCTATGATTGAAACACTTTTAATCAAATTATTAATTTTGCATAAAGAATTTTTAACAGTGTAATGATACAATAAAGAAATTATTTAAAGAAATTATTTTTATAAAAAAAACAAACATTCGAAAAAATAACAAAAAATCGAAAATCGAAATCGAAAAAATTTAGGTTGACTTATTTTTTCTATTTATTTTATTGATAAAGTTTGCATACAACGTTTGGCGCCCCTGTTTCCTGGCGCCCTTGGGCGGCACCCAACCTTGCCCCCCCCTAAGGCCGGCACTGATGGTGGGTTAACTTTTCAAAACGTAAACAAAACCAATGACTTTTCACTTTATATCTTTTATAGAAAACTGAAGATACAAAATATTAAAAAGTATTAAAATTAAATGTATACAATAGGGTGTTGAATAAAAATATTAAAGACCCTATTGTATGCATTTAAGTTTCTTTTTTATAAAAAGTTTAAATATCAAATATTTTTTATATTCAGTGTTCAATTCTACACAAAGATGGATTTAAAAAATATTTTAATTCGAATTACAATAAAATTTTTATTCTAATTCGATTTTTCCTACTTCTATTTTTCCTCATATATTTTATAAAGAATTTATATTTTTATTATTTTCATAAAAAATTGAAGAAATTTTAAAAGTTAATTATATTATTTAGTTTTACCACAAAAACTATTGTAAAACATAGCATAGTTTATTTCATATCAAAATATTCTTTTAGTTAATAAAAGCTTTTTTTTAAAATTTAGTTTTAAGAGAGTGTTAAAGCTATTTCTGTGAACTTTCAAGTATGAAAATTTAATTTAGTTATAAATAAATAATTTTGGTATATATAAAAAACCATAAGAGTATTTTTATTTAAACTTTTCTACTTAAATTTTATAATTTATTTGATTTTTTGTTTTATAAGTAATGTAATAATTTTTTTTTTTTAATCATTATAATATAATAAACAGTAATGTTAAACAAAGGGCAGGTGAGGCTTACCTTCCAAAACAAATTTTCCAAAGCTTTATTTTAATATATATATATATATATATATATATATATATATATATATATATATATATATATATATATATATATATATATATATATATATATATATATATATATATATATATATATATATATATATATATATATATATATATATATATATATATATATATATATATATATATATATATATATATATATATATATATATATATAACTTTGCTGTTCTAGTTGTAGCATTATATTTTTGCTGTAGCAACTAGAATAATAAAACTGATATGAAATCCGCACTTATATATGAGTCTGAGGAGCTCATTAACTTAATTTTATTTAATGATTGCGTTTCAATAAAAATACTCAATCATTTTCTAAAAAAAATTTGACATTTCAAAGTGCAAGTCATTCAAAGAGACATTTAAAGAGTAAGACAATTAGAAAGTTTGCTTTAAACTTTCACTAGTATTATTTTTATTAATAAAATGATATTATAGAAAACCATTTAAATCATACTTTCCAAGCCACAACAGTCTAGGTGTGGAACTAATGATGTCAATAGAGCTAAACAGAGCTATGTTTTGCACAGGAGAGCTAAACAGAGCCTAGCGCACAGCTTAAATATTAATAGAGCTAAACAGCTAAACATTGTAAGAAGCGGTGTGCTTGATGCTGGACACACTCTTTTATATTATATTCTGGGTATATTTTCTGATCTTTGAATGAGCTTTTTTTGTAGCTTCGAGAACTTGGTATACTTATTTTTTTTGACAGTCATAGCCTTTAAGTAAGCAGTTATTACTTGCTTAAGATATTTGTATAGATTACTTTTAAGGGTATTACTTTAGTTTGCGATAAACTTCTTAGTTTAAAGTTTATTAAGAAGACTTTCAATATCTGAAGACTCTCAATAACCAAAAAGTATTTTTTTAAGCATGAAGCCTTATTTATTAATCATTTAATTTTTATTTATTACGCTCATAAAATGCAGAAAAATTTTCTACCGTCTTTTATCAACAAAAAAGATTTAGAAATTTTTAAAATAAACTTTTACATCATGTCACTTGATGAGTATTTAATAAAGTTTTCTTATGCAGCAAAATAAGTTTTGATCACCCAAGATCTACCATTACTGCTGACAAGATATTTTTGTATTGTTTAAAACTATAAGGTTTGTAAATGTGGAAGGGTCCCTAATTAAATAAGTAATATTTTATGTAGAAACTGTGCATTATTGTCATTTTAAATAACAGGTGTTTAAATTTCATATCAAAAGAATCCCTTTAAATCTAAGTTTATTACTTTTGAAAAATTGTGTTACTATTTGTAAGTTGTGTGTGTGTGTATATATATATATATATATATATATATATATATATATATATATATATATATATATATATATATATATATATATATATATATATATATATATATATATATATATTATATATATATATATATATATGTTTGTAAATCAGCTTTAAACGAACATATATGTATGAAAAATCCATCCTAAAACAGACCATTTTGTAAAGCGGACAATTTGCTGTCTGCTTTGCGTTTTGTGATTAAACTTTAGCTAAGTTACTTGGTTTAAGTTATTAAAAATTAGACTATAGTTTTAAAATTGTTTATAAAGTAAATAAAAATAAAAAAAACGCAATTAGTTGATTAAAACTCAGATAAAATTAAAACTCAGATAAAAAAGAAGAATTTCTAATAAACTATAAAAAATGAGATTTTTCTAAATGTTTGTTTAAAGATGCATTTTTACTATTACGAGATATACACTGATAAAAAGAGAAAGCAAAAAATTTGAAGAGATCCATCAACTAATCGCATTTTTTTATTTTTTTTTACTTTATAAACAGTTTTAAAACTATAGTCTAATTTTTAATAACTTAAACCAAGTAACTTTGCTAAAGTTTAATCGCAAAACGCAAAGCAGACAGCAAATTGTCCGCTTTACAAAACGGTCTGTTTTAGGATGGATTTTTTATACATATATGTTCGTTTTAAGCTGATTTACAAACATATATATATATATATATATATATATATATATATATATATATATATATATATATATATATATATATATATATATATATATATATATATATATATATATATCTGTGTGTGTGTGTGTGTGTGTGTGTATATATATGTTTATATTTATATCTATAACAATTAATTATTTAATTATATATATGAATATATATTTAGCAATTATTTATGTATACATCTGTGCTATTTTTTTTATAATGGAATGTTTTTTAAGTATACATATATTGGTAACATCTTTTACTTTAGAGTACCTTATTGGTAACACCCTTACACCATTAGTAAAAGGAAAGATTATTGTTGAGATACCAAAGCTTGATAAAGAATATATTGTATCGTTAGATATTTATCCTAATAAATTTACTTCTGGTTGGCATAGTGTCATTTCTTTCATTGTTAATTCTGGTTATGATATATATAGAGTTCCTGGAATTTTGTTTCATCAAGATGGTAATGGAAAACTTCATATTGAAGCTCCAGTTAATGGTAACTTTTATCGATCTATTAACACTTATCCAATTAGAATAAATTTTTGGTCAAACGTAGTTGTAAGTCAAGTTTTCAAAAATAATGTTTACATATATACAATCATGATAAATGGACAAGTTGTTTATTCCGAAATTAACAACCAAACTCAAAGTTTTGATAAGGTCAAAGTATTTGCTTCTGATCCAGCATTTGAAGTTCAAGATGGCTTTATAAAAAACTTGTTTGTTATTAATGGAATTTTAAGTAAGTTTTCTCTTTCAATACTTTTTAAAGAATAGATTTTATTAAACACGGTTTTAAAATATTAATAAGTTATATAAATATTCATGTTAATAACATATATAACTCTATTATTATTTATTTGAACACAAAAAAAGTCTATTACTTGGTCATATTCAATTATTCAACTAGAAAAGTTTTCATAATTTTTTTTTAAAATTGTGAAAACTCAATATAATTATCTTATAAAATATACAATAAAAAACCGTATACAATAAAGTTGTGCTTTTATAAATAAAAAATTCAGGGAGCAATTTTATCATGTGGAAGCAAGGCCGGCGCGATAAGGGGGTGCGGGGGGTTTTTCCCCCCACCCCCATTGCGCCCCATAGTCGGCAAATTGGACTCTTAGACTAGTTAGTCTGCAAATGTTGACCCTTTCGATATAGGTTCATCGGTAATCTAAACAGTCGGCAAATGTCATGACAGTCAAAAAATTTTGGAAAAGGAGGATTTTTTTTTTTTTTTTTTTGGCAAAAGTTGTAATGGCACCCCCCCCCCCTCCCCTCCATGTGTGTCACCTACTTGTGCCGGTCCTGTGTGGAAGGTATTTTTGGTAATTAAAATAAACCCTAAAATTGCAATATTTTAAGTAAATAACTTGAAAAGAAAAACATAGTTTAATGGATACAAAATTAAAGTTTCAAAATTATGTAAACTGGGTAAGAATTATTTTTTAAGATTAGATTTTTCCACATGTGCCCAGATTTTTTTGTTTCACATAATACTTTCACACAGCAAAATTACATTTCTCATTAAGAAATTTTTTTCTTAAAATAAGAAATATATTTCCTGTTTTAAGAAACTAATATCTTAAACTATGGATAATGACTTTTGCTGTGCAACCATTTGCTGTGCAACCATTTGTTGTGCAATCATTTGTTGTGCAACCATTTGCTGTGCAACCATTAGCTGTGCAACCATTTTCTGTGCAACCATTAGGTGAAACCAACCATCAGGCAAACTCTAATCTTATTTTGTCAAAATTATGTCAAATGAGAATGTTTTGTAAAATATCATGGTATTAGGAACTTGTAAATAAAAATAGCTAAGAATTTAACTCCTACTTTAACGATAGGAGAACAAGCTATTATGATATTTCTTTTTAAATATCTTACATTCAATTAAATTTATCAACAGGTTTTAAATTTTATCTAATAATAGTTTAATGTTTAAAAGTTATAACCATGTAAACTTTTACTCATTCGAAAATTTAACATGATCATAATTTTTGAACTCTAAAAGATTTTTCAATAAAATTTATAACCTGTTCATGAATTTAAATTGAGTGTAAGATATTAAATTTATAACCTATTAATGAATTTAAATTGAGAGTAAGATATTAAATTTATAACCTGTTAATGAATTTAAATTGAGTGTAAGATATTAAATTTATAACCTGTTAATCAATTTAAATTGAGTGAAAGATATTAAATTTATAACCTATTAATCAATTTAAATTGAGTGCAAGATATTAAAAAGAAATACTTTATTTGCTCGTCACATAAAAACATGTCAGCAAATTGTATGGAAATGTCATATTTAAAACATAAAAAAAACTTACAAACAATCAATTTCTTCAAATTTAATGAGTTTACATAAAATTATTAAAAACACATTATAATGGACAATAAATATTTCACTAAAATTAGGCTTTAACTTCAACTAAAGAATTTTTGGTTGATGTTAAAGATTAAGAATAACTCTGCACTCTACTTTTACAATTTAAAACCACCCCAGCTGCTGATTAAGTCACTCACTTTACTACTCTTTCACAAGATTTTGTATGGAGAGAGAAGTAAGGTATTTCCATAAGAGAATCTGTTACCTTCTTTAAAAATTTTTTTCATGTTATTTGTAAAATTTGACTCAAAAATTTATTCCTTACTTCAGTATATGAGTTCATGAAGGGACAGCAGCAAAGTTAAGTATGATTTTTTTTTATATCTTACACTTTCTTTCAACTTATTCTCTTTTAATCTTCGCAATAATGTTGGCTGCAAATACAAATTTCTTCATAATAATGTTGCCTGCAAATGTTCCTTTTTTATTTGATAAGCTTGCAAGTGTAGAAATTAGAAAGGACTCAGAATAAGCATGAAATACCCAATTTTAATAAACTTTGAAACGTTATCAAATCAAACATTATTTGATTTGATTTTATATATTAGTTTTTCTATAAGCCCTGTAAATTCGTTTTTGAGTCTGTCTATCAAAGTTTGCAATCAAATTTCTTGAAGGTAGCTCATTTGTATGCAAAAAGCATATTGAACATAAATATTTCATTCCAGTAAGTCTCTTCAGATGAGTTAAAAATTCATCATCCTTACCAGACAATTAATTGAGCAGTCTTCTGACGTTTTTTCATTTGCATCCAATTTCCAGGTGAAGTTTCCTAATTAAAATCATGTTCTTTTTGTTCTATTTGAATCTGTGTATTAATGATTTTTTTTTTTAATGGGTTTTTTCTTTTAATAAATTATCTGCTATTTTTTCTTTTTCTTGGCTAATTCTGTTTTTCTGTTTTTACCTTGTCAGTATGATACATTTTATAGCTTGACTTTTATCAAATCCTTTCTCTTTGATATCTAAACCCTGAGAAATTTCATCAGTACAAAGTATTAAGTTGCACCTACATTTTGTTAAACAATTTGTTCAGCTTACTTCCCACAATTTGACAACTTTTTTGTTTGTTTCTTTTTGATTAGAAATGTCTAAAACTTATACCAGGAAGATAAAATTTATCTCACAGTATATTACAACTTAAGGCCCTTTAACAAAGCAAGAACTGAAACCATTGTTTTAATACCAAGTTTACCAATACCTCCAAGATCTTTTTCACAGTTAGATGATATCTCCTACAAAAAACATAAGATTCAATTCAAATTGAATCAAATTCAATTGAAAGATTCAATTGTTTATATAAAACAATTAAAATTGTAAGGTTTCTTATCAGTTAGAAATTGAATCAATCATTAGAATTGTCTGAAAGAAGCATTTTTTCCTGAATAAGTAGATCTTTTTTTAGTACATATCACAGTAAAGGTTTCTTTTCCTACTTAAAGGTATTTACTCATTTTGTTGTAGAGGAACTTCTAGTTTATTTTAATTTTGAACTCTCCATAATACAACATATTTTTTTCATTATTTGCTGTTAGTTAATTTTCATAAAGCCACAGCCTTGTTAAACTCACCAGCTGAGTATGCGCATCTATACCTAACTCAAATGTCAACCACTTTTGTGTGGCATTTATGATAAACAATGAGCTGTTGCAATTGCGATGATTGAAAATTGTCCAGTAGTTAATTAAATTTATCAACTGATGTTGCCTTGATTATTTGGCAAAGCATTCCAGTCATTGGCAACTTGGTTGTTGAAAAATTTATGTCTAACTTTGCAGTTCCTGACATCTCGCAATGAATTCAGTTTTACAAAAGCAATTATAGTATTAAATGAAGCAAAAAGTTTGAAAAAAATCACAACTTTTTAGTTATTGGAGTTATTTAAAAATCTAAACTTTTAGTTTAGACTATTAAATAACTCCAATACTTATAATTTTAAATGACTTCTATACTAATGATTTTAAATAACTCCATAACTAATGTATTTGAAGATTCAAAGATTGCAGTTAAAAGTTTTTTTCAATTAAAAATTTAAAAAAAAAATTTTCTGAATTTTTATGTAAGCTGAGTTTTAATTAACATAACTCCAAATCATAATAAATTAACATAACTCCAAATCATAATAAAATCATTCTTCACTGTTAATTTCAAAAAAAAAATTAAAAAGTATGACATGTCCTAATATACAATTAACTTTGGGATATGTATTTATATAGATACATATATACTATAAATGCGTTATATATATATATATATATATATATTATATATATATATATATATATATATATATATATATATATATATATATATATATATATATATATATATATATATATATATATATATATATTTATATATATATATATATATATATATATATTATATATATATATATATATGTATATATATATGTATATATATGTATATATATATATATATATATATATATATATGTATATATATATATATATACATATATATATACATATATATATATATATATATATATATATATATATATATATATTTATATATATATATATATATATATATATATATTATATATATATATATATATATATATATATATATATATGCATATATATATATGTATATATATATGTATATATATGTATATATATATATATATATATATATATATGTATATATATATATATATATACATATATATATATATATATATATATATATATATATATATATATATATATATATATATATATATATATATATATATATATATATATATATATATATATATATACATGTTTATTTACACATAAGCAAAAAAATATAACTTTTTTGGGTACTAATAAGTTGCATGCCTAAAGACAATCATCAGCCATGTAATATAAAACAGGAAAGTGTTTAAAAAATAAAAAGTTTCAGTGAATTGTGCTCCATTGTCCTAAAAACAAAAAAAAATAGTTAAATATATTGTTATTAAGAAATTTTAATATTAGTTTATTTATTATCAAAAACGGTTTTACTCTTAATTGCCAACAAGGTAAAGTTAATTTTACTCAGAATGAATATTTTTCGAAAAATATTCATTCTGAGTAAAATTAACTTATACTTGTTGGTAATTAAGGCTAAACCGTTTTTAATAAAAGATAAACTAAAGTTGTTCTATTTTTCAAAAAAACAAATTTTTTATATAGTCAATGGTCTTTAAAAAGAGTTTTGTAAAATAAGTCTTAATTTATTTTTTAAAATCTAATATTTGCCTAATAATAGAGGCTAAACCTGCCTTCAACAAAATCCTGCTGCAACTTAAATCTACGTTTTACAGCTGCTACTTTGTGTTAACTGCATCT